TTTTATACAAATTGTTCAGTTTTGTATAAATTCATTTATACATTGTAATTTGTATAACAAGATCTGTATTTGTATAATTATAAGTGTATAGGATGAAAATATATGTATTTGTATTTGTATATACACTTTTCTCTCGCTTTATACAAACACAAACGTATTTTATACATTTTATACCGAAATGTATAAAATGACTAATTGTATACCGAAAATGGCTAATTGTATACTGAATCAGATGAAAAAAAAATGAGATGTTTGCTACGAACAACAAATAAAATAAACTATGGTTATAACATTTAATTTGAATTAATAATTTGCTATTACAATTTTCCTAAATTTTATTCCTCACTTATTATGTGATTTTTTGGTCTTTTTTTTATTTTAGTCCAAAATAAATGTTTTTAAAAAAACATAATTAAGAAGGAATTAACTTTATTTTTCTAAATTTATCCTTAATCACTTGGTTTTTGTGTTACGAAAGGGAACACGTCCTTTTTTGTTGAGAATATCTCATTTTATTGTGCATCAAATCTTGAGTAAGCAACAACAGCTAAAAATATATACAAATTAATGAGATTGATATTTAGATGATCTTTTAAAAAATTTAAAATAAAAAAATCATTAAAATAAATATTTGATAAAAATAGTAACCTTTCGAGATAATGGAAACAATATCAAAGTACTTGTGAACCAAATATATCATATGGAATCAAAATCTTTAAAACATCATTGATTGTTGAAATCTAGCACAATCAAATAAATAATTTAAAGGTTAAGCAATTATTGCAATAATTTCAAGAGTAAACTAAACTTCTAATTTCACCTCTTTGATTTATAAAATCAAGAATATGATGAAGATAAAGAGACGTAAAGTTTATTAAAAAAATTCTCATGCTAATAAGCCTAATTATTGTTTTGTGAATGTTCAATAGAAATTTGTTCTCATTTTTTTACGATAAGGTGTGCATTATTATTTAACACATCATATCAATCACAACTCACAAGTAATAAAGGTAATAAAAAAAATATTTTACATGTATATATAAAATTATTTCATTCCAGAAAATCATATCCTCACTCAATTTTCGATATTTATTTGGCCATAAGGTTGATGCAAACTTAAGAAGTTTATGTATTTTTAGTGTTCTCTCGGAGGTAAGGTCTTCACACACACCCGGTACTTTGTTGAAGATATGGAATAAACAAGTTTGGATTTTGTTGGAAAAAATAAGTAACTAATAATACTTCCTTCTGGAAACTATGTCAATAGAAGGATAAAATGTAAATTCAATAAATAATTGTATACACGTTAACATAATAATTGTACTCTAATTTCCTTTGTATATTTTCCATTTCCATTTGTATTTAGTGAACCATTAATTACTTATTTGTATAAAGATTAATATTAAATTATTAAAGTGTGTAAATTACTCTACTTTAATTAACTCCATATATTTTTCATTTTTCATTTGAATCTCGTGAAGGAAAATTACTTCTTCATGCCCAGACATACCTAAAGAAGTGTCATGCTATACACTCCTTTACACTTGTTTATTAAGAAACAAATTATAAGAGATTTGTTATTTTCTTTCAATATATTTTACTATTATATAATACATAAATTATTAATAGTTAAATTTATATTTTCAAAATATAATTAATAAGATTAATCTATTAAAATAAACTACTCATAATGTGTTTTTGATTAAAAAAACAACTAATTTAATATTAGAAAATAAGGAATTAGCAACAAACAAAATTTCATAGCGAAACAATAAAAATTTCATGCTACATTTGGCTACAAATTAGGGACGAAATGTAAGGAAATTTAGTTTGCTAGGATTTTTTTAGTGACAAATTATGTAGTGATTACCGATAAATTTTGTAGCTAATTTCATATTTTCTTATAGAGTAAGAACATATATATATATTTTTTCATAAACAAGATAATATATTAATAACTAGTATGCGTCATTACATGATAGAGGCAGACCAGCTTGCCTGCTGTTACAGTTTAGGGGAGGGGCGTTACTAGTATTATTACACTTATACAACATAGATATTGGCCGTTTAGGCCTAACAAAACGAGTTCCAACCTTATCTGCTTCAACTTTCTTCAAAACAAACAAGGGTGGAACTTTTCAAAAAGAGTTGGAATTAGTTGACTGCATAATGGCACCCTCCTTCACAAGCGTGCCTGCTACACTGTTAGTTTCCCGATAGCTATGGAGTATGGGGGTTCCCCAGCTGGTGAAGAAGAACCCTGCAATCAGATAGAATATTTGAATATTTAGGATGATCATTAGCAATAACATTATATCATTAGCAATGGCGAATATTTAGGATGATCATTGCCATCGCCACTCCCATTTTTGTAGTTGCTACCACGTCCTCCACCATCACTACTACCACTACCGTCAATTTCCACTACCCAACAAACTATCTACTATCACAACAAGCATCGCTGCCAACTACCACCATACATTCTTCGGTCATCACCATGACCGCCCTGCCCCCACCTCCACCATTACTATTAGTCATTATCATCATTGTGATCAATTTCTACTACCAACAACCTACATCATCATAATTAGAACCACCGCAAACTATCACAAACACATTATCAATCACCACACATTTTTCGATCATCACCAACAACAACCTCAGCTACTAAATTGAAAAAAAAGGTGATTTTGATTAGATAAAAGAAGAAGAAAAGAAAACAAATGACATGAAGAAAAAAAAAGAATAAAGTTGGAAGGGTTATCTATGGAAAATGAGTTGATGCTTTTTTTATTTTTTTAAAAAGTGATTCTTTTACGCATTTTTAAAAAAAATCTTACTTTCAATTCTTATGACATATCAACTTTTAGGATGGAAATAAATTCACTTCTAAGTACTATATGAATATGTAATAGATCGCTATAATAATTTGAGAGTGCATTTGACTTTTCGAGAAAGTTGAGGTTGATTCTATGCCATTTCCATTAATTTACTAAGATAGATTTATTTTTTAAGGGCCAAATTACTATTTCTCTAAACCTGAGGGACCGAGTATTAAGTGACCAAATAACCGGTCTCTTCCCTCTCTCATATTCTTCAACACATATATATATATTGAACAACAGTAGACCTATTTCTCATTCTCTCTCTATTTTCTCAAATTTTCTCAGAGAGAAGGAGATTCCCTTGTAATCTTTCATCGATCTTTCTTCGTTTTCTCGGCGAAATTTAGGGTTTGAATTTCGCTGTTCGATCGCTATTCCGAAGGTCAATCCCTTTCTCTTTTATCTTTTCTTCGATCCATTGATTGATCGCTAGCATCTTTGCTTGCCTACACTCGCGTAAAAATTCTGTTTTGATTATTGCTTCATGTTTTGTTGATTTTTCGTATCGTTTTATTTGTGTTTATCTGCTTTTTCTCGAATGATTTGATTAGATTTTGTGGTGTGTGTCTGTTCATTGGTTGTTGCGGATGATCATCTTGTGTTCGCAGTTGTTTCAGTGTATATGTATTTAGTATGTCTAGGGTTGGAGTTTTTGGCTGGTTTGTTTCTGGTTGTCTGAAGGTTTGGCAAAGTTAGGCCGTGAAAATTTTCTAGTAATATTTTTTTTACCCTTCCTAGGAGCTCCCATCTTTTTTCGCTCCTGTGGTGACTCAGACTACAACGTTAGGGTTGGAGGTGCTCCTGTGGTGACTCAGACTACAACGTTAGGGTTGGAGGTGGATGGTGTTTACCATCTAAGCACTGCTTTTGTTGAATATTTCCTGTTGGTTGTTACCGTGTGATGTTTTCTGGACAAAATGTTGTTT